GTTTTCTTCCCGAAAACTCTCCAACACCTAAGTCAGTAATCCACTTACAAGTAAGTTTACTCGAGAAGTAGATGTAAGATCATTATGGTACCCCGCCCGAGATTCGTGGACACCGTTGTTTTCTAATGGAAAGATACATAAAAAAGAAAGTGAGACTCTCCGAGAGAATCGGTTGGAACTCTCTCAGGGAATGAATCCTACTTTCGGGGACAGGGATCATGATTCCTATTGTCCTTTTCCTTGGTCGGTAGTCACTCATCTTTCTCATTCCCCCTCGACTAGTCCATCGACCTCTTTTTCTTTAGGACTATCCTTCATTTTTATAGAAATGTCTCTCTTCGTGTGGTCGATTCGTTTACTTTTTTTTTTGAGTTGTTGACAAATTTTTTGGGAGACGGCATGTAAAATCTGCTATGCACTTAACTTTTTTGGCACGTTCGAGACAGATCTATTAAACCACGAACACCACAGAGCAAGACGATTTTATCTTCGATCGATAAATTGTCCAACAATTGTCTCTGTTTCCTCATCTTGTTTCTTGTGTACATGTAGGGTTGGTTGAATCATGGAAAATAAGTCTCAGGGGGATGCGTACTAAATTTTGCTTTTTACTCCCGTCATCTATGCAAGACATTGTCATTTTCGGGCTTGCACATCCTTTTATATTATAAAGGTAAATGAACAATGCCGTGAAAAGATGTAATTGACAGTGAAGTCTACCTACTACAGATATTTGGCCATTGCATCGCCAGACTCCATGTTGATTGTAAATAGGAGAAGTAGAATATGGTCTGCCCCATATTGGATGACATCGACTTCTACCTCCTCATCATGCCTCAGAGAATTTTCGCTCGTGTTCCTTCTATTGATTTTTAAAAATTAGTGATGTTATCTTAACCCTCAGACACCTCGATTTTAGCTTCCACGTCTTTTTATGCTTAGTCCACTAATATTGACACTGAAACCTACCTTAATTTTGCATATCCCTTCGTTGCAAATTGCTCGAAATACTACATTAACATTTTCACCCATGAAATTTTGTTGGTGTTTGCTTTAGCCTTGGAGGCTTGGAATGTTGATTGGATTTTCTCTAAGCTTATAAAG